GCCAGGGCAGGGGTAGCTGGATGGGAGGCCGTGCAGTGGGGGGGTGGCGGGGGAAGCCTCAGAGCCAGGAAACATTTCGGTTTTGTGTCTGTGTGGGACACCCTTCCTGCCCACCTGGGGCCTCAGTGTGCATCCTGGTCTTGGCCCAGCTCTAGACCAGGTGGGAGCTGAGGGGTCTGATGGCCCACCCCTAGGCCAGGAAGTGGGCTGTGCACTGCCCCCCTCCCTTGTCCCCTGAGGGAGGGACCTTGACCAGGTTGCTGCAGGGGAGGCCCAGAGCTTGACCTAGGACCCAGGACAGGCTGGTTCCCAGGGGTTTGAGCCAGCCCTGCCCCACGTGCTATTGTCAGGTCACATTCAGAGCCTCAGTTTCCCACCTGGGCTGGAGGTAGGTTTGGTGCCATTGTGCATGTGGGGTGCTGGCCCCTGGGTAACGTGGCTGTTACTGACCCCTGAGTCAGTGGCTCCACCAGGAATCAGGGCCAGGTGGGGTTGGGGAGCAGTTGCATGGGACGCACTAAAGAGTAAGACCTGCCCTGTCCTGGGGGCTCACTCACTGGTGGGTGGTAGGACCCATGGGGGTCAGGGACTGCTCCTAGAGGAGGTGCCCATCTAAGATCAGGATGTTGGGTTGGTCAGAGCTGGCCCGGTGGGGACAGTGTCCTGGGAGAGCCTGGGGTGGGGGGTGGGGTCTGGCTGGGGTGTGGCTCGTGTCTGTGGTGGGCCCTGTGGGCCCTCGGTGAGCCTGAGTCCACTCTGGGGTCAGCCCCAGGTCCAGTGCTGCTCCAGCCTGCCCTCCTCCTGGCTGCCAGCCCCCCCCAAGGCCACACACTCACCCCCACCTTACAGCATTGTTCTCTGCCAGCTGGAAGTCTTCTGACCCTGTCCTGCCAAAACAACACCCCCCCCCCCGCCGCTGCCCAGCCCCTCCCCCCACTGTTTCTCTGTTTTCCTGTTTTTCCTTTTGAACAAGTCTGACGGAAGCAGGTGTGGTGCAGGACAAGTGGGCCTGAGGCCCAGCCCTCTTGCTGTGCCCCGTGCGCCCCAGTCCCTGCTGCTCTCTCAGGGGTCCTCCTGCCACAGCCCCGCCCAGGAGGGCCTGCTTTGTGAACTGGTGCCTGGGAAGCAGGAAGGGAGGCCCCTGCCTCTCCTGGAGGAGCCATAAAGATGACCACAGCAGAGGCCCCTACCCTGTCTTCACTGAAGAGCCAGCCCCAGCCTCTGGCTAAGCAGGCCCCGGGGCTAACGGGACTGGAGCCGCCGCACAGTGGGGCGCGGAGCACCTCCTGGCCCTGGGTTCCAGCCCTTTTCTCTGGGGCCCAGCCCCCCCCCGACTGGAACATTGGTAACCCCATCCCCTCATCTGGCCGCTCCTGGACAGTAGTCCAGGTGGCCTGGGATTCGCCAGGGCAGGGGTAGCTGGATGGGAGGCCGTGCCCTCGCCCACCTGCTGCAGGTGGGTCTGGGCCCCCCGCACCTGTGATTCTGCGCGTCAGCTGGGGGACCCTGGCAGAGGGGCTGAACCCCCAAGACGCTGTTCCCAGCCCCCACACACACATGGGGGGCAGCGCCTCTGGCCGTAGGGCTGTGGGATGTCTGTCTTATTTATTCTTTATCGTGGGAACATACACGTGACTTAAAATTTATCCTCTTACGCGCTTTTAAGTGCACAGCTCAGGGGTGTGCGTGCGTTCACGGTGTTGTGCACTGTCCCCTCTGGACCCAGAACGTAGTCATCTTTCCAGACTAGATTCTGTCCCGTTACACACTGACCGCCACCCCTGACCCCGCGTCTGTGGGTCTGACTCCTCTGGGGCCTCCTGGGAGTGGACCCTTCGGGATTGGTCCCTCCGTGCTGGGCTGATCTCACTCGGCACCGCGTCCTCCACGTTCATCCGCGTTGTGGCGGGAGCTGGGATTCCTTCCTCTTAGAGTGAATGATTTTCCACGATGTGGACGGACCCTGTTTTGCGTAGCTATTCCCCTGTCGGTGCACCCTTGGTTCTGGGGACAATGCTGCCTGCTCACAGTGTCCGAGGTGCTGTCTCTTCAAGGCTCCCAGGGCGCCTGGGCTGCTGAGGCCTGCCCTGTGCACCTGCAGCCTCCATACCTGTTCCCGGGCTCGGCCTGCTTCAGCTGGAACTGCCCACCAGTCAAAGGATGGGGGGCGGTGGGGGGGCGGCGGATTTTCCAGCCTGACCTTGTGCAGAGGTTAAAGGTCAGCAAGGCAGGAGGGAAATTTGTAAAATATATCTTTTTTCATCAAAATAGATCAACATAGAGTCGTCTACCATGTGTCTCCGTGCATTTTGAAATTTATTCCTGCCTGCTCGTGAGATGTAAAAGTCTGAGAGCACTAGGCACCTGACCCCGCCCCAGAGTGGGCATGCCGAGGCCCAGGAACGCCCCCTCCATGACGGGCAGCTTTGGAAGCTGGAGCAGGGCAGGGTGCTGGCCCCAGGGAGGGGTCCGCTGGGAAGGCTGGGGCTGGTGGAGAGGGCACACGCACCCCGAATGTGGCGCTTCCTCACAGGCCTCTCTCCCAGCAGGGCCGGCTCCCGGGCCTCAGGGTCAAGTACGTCTTCTTGGTCTGGCTGGGCGTCTCTGTGGGCAGCTGGATGGTGTACGTGCACTACTCGTCCCACGCGGAGCTCTGCCGTGGGCACGTCTGCCAGGTGGTTATCGTAAGTGTCGCCTTGGGCTGGCCTTGTGGGAGGGCTCCTCCCTGCCCGGTGCTGGCCCATGCGCACGGGTCACGTGCAGTTGGCCCTGGATCCTCAGAGGCGCCGGCGCGGTGGACTTTGAGATGGACCTGACTGCGCTGGGTGTGGCAGGGACGAAGGGAGGGACGGCGGGGGGCGGGGTGCTGCTGCAGGTGCATGGGAGGGCGGGGCTGGGGGCTGGGATGTTCAGAGATGTTTGCGGGGGGGACTTTTAGCTTTAGGGAGACTGGGGTGTACAGATACTGGTGGCCTTGAGCGCCCCCCCCGGGGCCAGGAGTTCACCAAAGGAGGCCGTATGGGGACAAGGGGTGGCGGGCCGGGCCTAAGTGGCAGCCTGTAGCCTAGAGTGAGTGTGAGGTGTGCATGCACGTCTACACGTGTGGGCCGCTCAGGAGTGGGCATGTGCCCGTGGGTGTGCACGTGAGGTGGCAGGCTCAGGAGCCTGCGTGTGCCCATACACAGGAAGGCACGTGGACCCACGGGTGCACACCTAGTGGACACCCCAGGACTCGGGCTGGAGGGACCGACCACACCAGCCCCAGGGGCCCTGGCAAGTCCCAGACTCTTCTGACCCTGCCCCGCACCCTGCCTGGCCTTCCCAGGCAGTTTGGAGCCCCCAGCGAGCTGCTGGCCAGGGTTCTGATGCCGCTGGCCGGGCCTGGAGCTGCTCCTCCCCGCTGTAAGATGAACGGGCCTCCTCTCCTGGGGGGCTGTGTGGGACTGATGCTGGCCCCGGAAGGCCGCAGGCATGCCTGTTCTGGCCAAGGTCCCACAGGGGCCAAATTTGGGGAAGTCCAGAGGTGGGAGAACCCCTGTGACAGGATTTGCAAGAGGCCGGGTGGCGTCCAGTCCCCCCGACTGCTGGCTAAGTACTTCCCCAAAGGGCCAGGCCAGCACGGGGCACTGAGGACGCAGTGCCCACGCTTGGGGGAAAAGGCCTGTCTCCTGCCTGTTCTTGGCACGCTTCAGAAAGGCTCACCGGTGGCACCGGACACATGGCTCTGCCCTCACAGTCCAGGGCAGACGTGGGGCCTCTGGGTAGGGGGTGGTGAGAAGCTGTGCTGTTGGACAGCTCAGGGTGAGGGTGGGGCTGGGAAGGGCCAGGATGGCGGGCCGCAGCCAGGATGGTGCGGCGGGCGGCAGCCATGGGCCCTGCGCGGCAGGTGAGGGCTGGAGTGAGCTATGGGGGTGGGAGGGACACACCGCTGGAGTGAGGGCCGTGGGCGGGGCGGGGGGTTCTGGCCTAGGGGTGCGGGGACCAGCTGCCTGGAGGGTCACCAGGTGTTTGAGCCCGAGGAAACTGTGGGCCCAGGGGTGTCTCCCTAGGGTGTCCCCCCTGGGCTGTGGGGATGCCCCCTCCTTTCCAGAGGAGACCTGCCTGCTTCGTGGGGGTTCCACAGTGTGTCTAAGGGTGCGACCAGGGGTCACAGGTCAAGTTCTTACAGGCTCTGGGTGTTTGGCAGGTACTCGGCCCCCTGCAGGGGGAAACAGGCTGGGAAGTAGGGCAACTTGCCCCAAGCCTGATGGGCTGGAGGCACCCCGAGACCATGGGGCACACTGCCCCTCTCAGCCCCTGGGGGAGCCCCTCCCCAGCCTGGGGGGGGGCCAGTGTGGCCGGCAGGCTCCTTCCCTGGCACTGGTGGGGAGGGGTGGTGCCAGGCAGAAGCATGTCCCTCGCCGGCCCCCTCGAAGGCCCTGCGGTTCTGGGGCTCAGAGCCGACCCTTTGGAGTGGAGGCACTCCCTACAAGGTGGTGGAATGGGTTTTCCTTACGCTTTCTTTACCATCTTGATGAGTGGCCGCTGCTTTCCTGATGCCTCCTTCGCGGGGCCTCTGGTTCCGTCCCTGCCCTGCCCTCCGTCCTCCCCACACTTGGGTGGCGCCCTGCTCTCCACACTGCACACTCACTTCCCTCTCCTTCCTCCCAGCCTGGCTCCAGCAAGGGCCCGGGCTCCATGGCAACGGTGATGCACTTCCAGAGGGAGGCACCCCCAGCTCCAGAGCTCCAGATGGCCGCACCTCCCTGCCTGGGGGGGGGGGGGGGAAGGGCCTGACTCCATCACCTCTGGCTTCCCCACCATCCTAAATGGGTCAGCCAGGACCTGCAGGGTTCAGGGGGCTGCAGGGGAAGGGGCCAGGGGGGCAGCCGCGGCTCCGGAGCCCAGCCTGGTTCTTGCTGCCAGTGGTTCCCGGGGCATCTGGCTAATGAGGCGGCCTGGCCGGGCCCCCTCCCGCCACCCTCGGGGCAGGGCCCCTTCATGTCTCAGGCTCTGCTGCTCCTGCTTCCTGGCACTGGGGAGAGCCCACGCCAGGGAGACCCAGACTTACGCACCTCGCAGGAGGTGGGGGGGCGCCGCGGACTCTGCGAGGGGCTGCAGTGAGCAGAGGCTCTTGCCAGCGCCGTGGGTACCCTGGCCCTCCGCGTGGTCAGGTATGGCTGGAGCCTGTTGGTTCCCAGCTGCTGTGGTCTGGGGGCCCCTCTGAGACGTGGAGGGGCCTAAGAACCAGGGGGCAACCGGCAGATGCGATGGGACCTCAACCTGCCACATGTGGATGGTGGGGGGAGGGGCCCCGCCTCCTTAGGCCACTTCCTGGTGTCTTCCTCCTGTCCCCAGTGTGACCAGTACCGCAAGGGCATCATCTCCGGCTCCATCTGCCAGGACCTGTGCAACCTGCACAAGGTAGAGTGGAGGACGTGCCTGTCCTCTGTTCCAGGCCAGCAGGTAAGCCCAGGAGGGTCTGACTGGGGTCAGCCCTGGGCCCCTTGGCCTGGGGGCCCGGGGCTCGAGTGCAAGGCGCAGCGGGAGGGGGCGTTTGCTCGAGGACCCCTGTGGCCCCATGCAGGTGTACAGTGGGCTGTGGCAGGGCAAGGAGGTGACCATTAAGTGTGGCATCGAGGAGGGCCTGGACCCCAAGGCCAGGTCGGACCCGGCCCCCCGGCAGGAGCTGGTGCTGTTCGACAAGCCCACTCGGGGCACCTCAATTAAGGAGTTCCGAGAGATGACCCTCAGCTTTCTCAAGGTCAGTTGGCTCCCGGGGGCTGTGCGGAGTTCAGGGCAGGAGACGGGGGCGGGGGTGGGAGCCACAGCTCCCAGCCAGGCATCTGGCTGGACCTCAGCTCCAAGCAGACCTTCGCTCAGGGGAGCACCTACTGGGTGCAGAGGACCCTGCGCATGGGAAGTGGGGTGAGAGCAGATCCAAGTGCCTGCTCCCCAGCTCCCAGAGCACCGGTGGAGATGCAGGGACATGAGGGCCCCAGGAGCAGCTCCTGGAGAAAGGACGGTGCACCAGTGGTTGGCGAGGGGGGGCTCTGCACAGCCCTGGGTTGTCCCCTCCGTGTGCTTGGAGGCCGGGCTCTCCCAAGCTGGCAGATGTACCCAGCGGACACCCAGGGGTCCGAGCTGACTAGGCCAAGGTGGGCACCCTGCCAACGTAGAAACCCACCACCAGGTCAGGCTCACTGGCCCTGAAATGACGCTGTCTCCCTTTCTCTGGGTCTCCCACGTCAGGCGAACCTGGGAGACCTGCCCTCCCTGCCTGCGCTGGTTGGGCAGGTCCTGCTCATGGCCGACTTCAACAAGGACAGCAGGGTGTCCCTGGCCGAGGCCAAGTCGGTGTGGGCCCTGCTCCAACGGAACGAGTTCCTGCTGCTGCTGTCCCTCCAGGAGGAGCACGCGTCCCGGCTGCTGGGCTCCTGTGGGGACCTCTATGTCACTGAGGGGGTCCCACACGGTTCCTGGCACGGGGCCGCTCTCCCGCCCCTCCTGCGCCCACTGCTGCCCCCCGCCCTGCACACAGCCCTGCAGCGGTGGCTGGGGCCCGCGTGGCCCTGGAGGGCCAAGATCGCCATCGGCCTGCTGGAGTTTGTGGAGGAGCTCTTCCACGGCGCCTACGGGACCTTCTACATGTGCGAGACCACGCTGGCCAACGTGGGCTACACCGCCAAGTATGACTTCAAGATGGCCGACCTGCAGCAGGTGGCGCCCGAGGCCACGGTGCGCCGCTTCCTGCAGGGCCGCCACTGCGAGCGCAGCTCGGACTGCACCTACGGCCGGGACTGCAGGGCCCCCTGTGACAAGCTCATGAGGCAGTGCAAGGGCGACCTCATCCAGCCCAACCTGGCCAAGGTGTGCGAGCTGCTACGGGACTACCTGCTGCCCGGCGCCCCCGCCGACCTGCGCGAGGAGCTGGGCAAGCAGCTGCGCACCTGCACGACGCTGAGCGGGCTGGCCAGCCAGGTGGAGGCCCACCACTCGCTGGTGCTGAGCCACCTCAAGACCCTGCTCTGGAAGAAGATCTCCAACACCAAGTACTCGTGATGGCTGGCTCCCAGCCCCCCACCCTGTCCCCACTCCCAGGGGGCTGCCTGGGGCCCCAGAGAGCCACTCCCGCCCTTGGGTCTCCCTCCCTCTTCACCCTACCACCCCGCAAAGGACAGGACCACAGGAGCTGGAGGCCTGGCCTGCATCCACCCGCAACAAGCCAGGGAAGGGGTCCTTCCCTCTGCCCCAGATGCCAACAACCCAGACAGGGGAGCCGCATAGCTGGAAGGGGGGGGGCAGGAAGGAGCACCTGGAGCCTGACCACAAGGGCTGGCTGAAGGACTCACCCAGGACTTTGTTACTTTGAAGAACGTGTGATGTAAATAAACAGCTTTTCTGTGAGTGTCCCTGGGTTCCCTCACACCATGCTGGACCCCTGCCTCCCAGACCCGCCATCGGCCTCCTGAGCTCAGGGGTGGGGGCTGCTCTTGCCCAGGCTGGACGGAATGCAGCATGGTCCTCTGGGTCCCCATCTGCTGGAGAGGCCTCGGCGGGCATCACAGGTATGGTCTCTCCTAGAGCCACATTGCGGGGCGGGGGGGCAGGAGGGGTGTGGTGATAGGATGCCGGATGCTGCTGGACTTTGCCACAGTTCCCAGGGAAGGTACCGACGGAGAGCCGGGTGTCCTGGTAACAAGCTGCAGGGCCGGGCTCCTCCCGTCCCAGACCCTGTCCTACAGTCCAGCCGCGCAGGACTTCAACAGATATCCATAAACCACTAGGTGAAAAATCCATCATCTAGGAAAGAGCCAAGCATTCTCCCTGCCTGTCCCCAAGGGGAAACTGCAGGAGCCGGACACCCTTTTCCCATGGAGGCCCCACTGCTGAGCCCAGGCTGGTGCACTGAATGGAGAATATGCAGGGCTGTGACCTGCCCCATGGAGGGGATCAGCAGGTGGCTCCCTCTGCTTCCATTCTGGGAAGTGAAAACTCCCAGCATTGTTTTGACGAAAAGCAAGGTTTCAAAGCCTCCACACAAGTAGTCACAAGGTTTATTAAGAGATCCCAGACACGAGGAGGCTCAGGGAGCTGGGGGAAGGGCTGCGTCCCCATCCCGGGTTGCGGTGGGCAGATCCTACTCCTGAAGTCCTTGGGGGCCACTGACCTTTGCAGGCTTAACTCCAAGTGGTTACAATGCCTGGGAAAGGCTACGCAGGAACCCCTGAACGTCACACAGCCAAATAAGTAGGCGACAGCTCAGGAAAGTGAACTGCCCCCCTCCTCCCCGCACCCACCGGTGTGGGCGTGCATGTGCACACATGTACCCACCAGCCTCCTGCTCTGGCCTCAGCTAATCACACTGTGAGGAAAAACCAAGTGAAGACGGTTTATTCAACACCAATCTCAACTTTTGCCAACACACACTTTTATTGAAAAATGTATTCCAAAATTTCAACTGTAATAACCTGTATTTTTAGTATTGATTCCTAAAACTCATCCTTACCTACATTTAAAAAATAACTTTCTTCCCCATCTAGATTCTTCTCCCTTGTGGGGTGGGTAATCCAAATACAGCACAAAAAGTTTAGAATTGGGGCACTGGGGTGACTCTGTCAGTTGAGCACCCTACTCTAGGTTTCAGCTCAGGCCACGGTCTCAGTGTCGTGGGATCAAGCCCCACGTCAGGCTCCAGGCTGAGTGTGGACTCTGCTTCAGATTCTCTCTCCCTCTGTCCACCCCCACCCCCAGCTTATGCTCTAAAATAAATCTTAATGAAAAAAAAATTAGAATCGTGGGCTCTGGGCAGTTAGAAAACGCTGCAAGGATTTTACTTCCCCCTAGAACACAATGGCTGGAGGATTAAGAAGCAGGACACAAGGGTGCCAGGGGAAGAGCCTGCTCATCCTTCACCTGCTACATGAGGCACACACACAGGGCCACCCCTACAGGCCTGGGGCCTCCAAGCTGGGGCATGCCCTGTCCCTGAAGCGGCTCCCCGCCTGAGAGCAGAGCCCAGGCCACAGCGGCGTCTGGTTGTGCCTCTGCAAACGACCACTGGGTCCAGTTTATTCCGACCCCTCCTCTCTGCCTTAGCCCGCCTGGACCTTCTGGAATCCCGAACAGTGTCTGCCAACACTTGACAGTTCCTGCTGCCTTGGCCCAGCAGATCTCCCCGGTGCAAGCTTCATGAGCTGAGCACACGTGACTGCGTTCCAACACGCCAACGTTCTGCACAAATGCTTCAGAAAATAAATGCAAAACATCTTACTCTTTTTAACCTGAAATTGGTGAGTCTGTCACCCCGAGCAGCCAGCCCGGGTCTCGCCTGCTCGAACCAGTGTTGAGCTCTCCACCTGCAAGACGGCGGGAGAGCTTCAGTCACACCTGTCACTCCAGTGGGGTTACCGAGGCCACCCCCCCCACCAGAGCCCTGGTTTACAGGGCTCCACACGGGCCGACCTGTCTCCCTGGCAGGACAAGGCCAGGTGCAGCCCTCGGGGGTCCCTCCGCCCCTCAGCCTGACCAGATGGCCTCCTGTGCCGCTAGTCTCAAGGGTCCTGAAAACAGGGGTGTACGTGTGCACAGGGCTCGGAAGCCCCCGCAGGGAGCGGCAACACACCCCAGGCCACTCACAGCAGATCTCAGACACACACACACGACACACTTGGCAAGGACTTCCAAAAAGCCCTCCAAACACACCTACAGAATGACCATTTCCAGGAAGGAGACCCTCTCCTGGTCAATCCCATTGTGCCCAAAACTGGCCACCTGCTCATGCACATGCATGGCTCACTCGAACCTCATGAGTGTCATCTTATAGACGAATCAGAAAACCAAAGCATCTGGTGACATGCTCGGCGTTCCTAGCTAGAAGCCCGAAGGTAGGTGTGCCTGCCAAGCAGCAATCCACAGCTGCTAAGGCATGTTCGGCTACAAACCATTCTTAGTGCTCACTGTTCTGAGCACTGAGCGTAGAAATAGCCACTTCCTATTTGCCCTGACGTCCCAGGTACAGCAGAGCAGCTGGATCTGGGGTGCTGGCAGGTCCAGCACCGGCAGGGCAGCCGTTTCTTCCCACCCAGCCGGGAGGCCAGCTTCGTCTCCCCTCTTACCTCGGTCTGGATGGTGGCGGGAAGTTTTTCCGGGTCCCTCCGGGGCAACAGCCGTTGCCCTCGTTCCTGTATTAAGTAACAAAAATGCTCAGCCCGATATCAGAGTATAATAAAAGTCAGCTGTCATCGTTACTGTTCACCGGACCAGGTTCCAGCCAACCTTCCCTGCTTCTGCAGGATTCTGAAAAACCTACGCTGCTGGCCAGGCAGGAAGCAGGAAGGAACTACGGAGGAGCGTCCTTTATTCTGCCTACCTGAAATCGAGCGGCCCACTACCTAGGACCACGTGCCCATCTGAGACTATCCAAGAACTAGGAGACAGTGGGAGGGTTTTCACAGGGTGGCCTCAGGCAAGGCCCAAAGCGCCTGGTCGGGTGTCAGACTATTAATCATCCAGACGTTCACCAGCTGAACACTGGGCGTAGATAAGCCTCTCTTCTTTCTGCCACCGAATGACACAAGTGTGACACAAACAGCCACACCTGCAACGCCTCTGGGGGCAGGGTGTGGGGAGATTCCCCGAGCGCGTGCATTAAGGATCAACTACCCCCGACACAGGAGACTGCGCACAAGGGGCTGAATTTGCACAACAGTCGTACTTCGGGGTGAACTCATTCCAGCACCAACGTGTCAACTCACCCGAGACGCCCTCCCAAGCGCGCGGTTTCCAGCAGGCAAAGTCCCTGGTGAAGAAAAGACACCTCCCCTTTAGAGAAGCCTGACTGTGCCCGCGCACGGCTCTGCTGCCCCCCGGAGCCCCGCCACCGGGCCTGCGTGTTCCTGGGAGACACCGGGCCCGTTCACCCCGCCGCCCGGAGTCCCAGCCTGGCTTGAGCGTGTGCAACGCCGGGTTACGGCGCGGCGGTCCCGCCCGCAGCGCCAGCCCCGGGGCCCGTCGCAGACACCGGCGGGCAGGCACCCGCGCGGGCAGCGCACGCAGCTCTGCAGCAGGCCGCCCGGCCAGCAGGCGCGCCGGCACCGCGCACGCGCACACGGCCGGACGCTTGGCCACACCGCGCGAACGGTCCGCCTCTCGACACAAAAGCGCGGCCACACCCGAGCGGGGGCGGGCGGCGGCTTCCGCCGGGTCCCCACCGGCGAGCGGGCGCGGCAGGTGCTCAGCGCGTCCCCGCAGCACCTGCGCGCACTTCAGGAAGGCCGGGACCCCCCGCCCCCACCAAACCGCTGCTACCTGGCCGCCGCCTGCTCCCGGGAAGGCCCGCCGCTCGTCACCCACCGCCCACCACGGTCCGCCCGCCGCGGCCGCCGCCGCCGGGAAAGGACGCACACGCGCGCGCCCCCGCCCTTTATACAGCCTACGGCGGCCTGCGAGGGTCAAACCGCACCGCCCCGAGCCCACCGCCGCAGCGCCCTCTAGCGGACCCTTCCGGTCTTGCTGGCGCCGGGACTTGCGGGTCGCGTCGAGGGCGGGGGGGCGTGCGAGTTGGGGGGATGGGGGCGCTCCCCCGAGACAGCCAGGCCCCGCAGGCAGGACTTCCCACTCTCCTGCCCGCGCCTGCAGCTCGGTCCGGGGCGGGCGGCAGCCCCGGGTCCTCCTCCGGGAGAATGGGACCCTGCGAAATGGAGATCCCCGTGACCTACGTCCCGCGGGCGGCAGGACTGCGTGAGTCAATCTATGCAAAGCACACGGAACAGCGCCAGGCACGTTAGCACTCGATAACGTCTTCCGAGGTTCCTGTCCCGCACCCCGTGAGCGTCCCCGGAGCTGGCGCCACCTCTCTGTTCCCCGCAGAAGGCCGCCCGGCTCTCCGGGAGCCTCGGCTGAGCGGCTGCTCCCGGGCGCGCCTCCCCGCGAGCCCCTCAGGAAGATCCCCTGCAGGGAACGCTGCCTCCACGCGCTCAGGGCGGGTCTGTCCCTGACAGCGACGGGCAGCTGGGGCCCCGGCCGGCGACACGCCGCGTCCTCCTTCCCGCGGAAGCTGCGGGGAAAGGTCTGCAAGGACCCGCCCTGGATTCATTGGCCCCTGGTGCTTCTCACCAGCGAACTAGTTACTGCTCCCCTGGGCAGGTGGGGAGGGACCTGATGCAGCCGCCGACCTCCGTGTAAGCTAGTGCGACGTCCTCAGGCACTTCATCCACGAAGAACCCGACGGCATTCTCTGTGATCAGCATGTCCTGCCCTGGGGGCGGAGCGCGGCCTCCCCAGGCGCACCCAGACCCGCCTCCCTCCCTGGTCTGGCCATTTGGGCTGAAGGCTCTGTGGGCTGTGAGCATTCCCTGCAGTCCTGGGCAGTCCTGGGC